GGGGGGTTGTCAACCCCCCCGGTACAAACATCATTTCCCTTAGCAAAGTAGGTATTGAAATTTTTTTAGTCTTATTATTATTATTATTATTTTTGGTTTGGGGGGGGGGGATGACATTATATTACTTGCGGGTAAAGAGTCCTTTACGACCTTAACTGCTTTTATATTTAGCCCCGTGTTTGGTTCAACTAAAAATTGGATTAAAATTAAGTCAAAGTAAACAATAAATTTTGACCACGCATTCCATTAACTTTTATCAAAATTTACTAAAAATATGATTTTATCTAAACCAAATAGGGGATTAATCTTCGCTACACTTGTGCTCTGGTGAGTCCACTTCCAGAGTGTGGGTGCGAGGGTGTAACATATCTTGACTCTACACACTTTGAGCACGTTTTAGTAATGCTATGTCTCAGACTGGTAAATTGACTCGGTAACATTGACTGCGTTTGACCTTTCAAAAAAAAAAACATTGACTGCGTTTGGCTTGCTACTGATATACATAAACTCCCCTGTCTGCACTTGTTGAGAACTACTTTACAATTAAATCCCTACTGTTATGATCTCTTATAATTTTACCAACTGGTTTCAGGAATCGTCATTTCTATCACAATTCCAGTTTTGTACAATAAATTTGAAGATCGTGTGGATCGATATGCTGGTATGATCCACCAGAAGTTTTCAAAGCATTATAAAATTGTGGATGAAAGTGTAATTAGTAGATTATCTAGGAATCTTTCCAAGGAAAAAGATCCTTAATTCCAGTTTTCTTTTTTTTCTTTTCCATTGCACCTTTTAATCATGGCCTCTTCAGATTTCTTGCTGGACGTAGAACCGGAGGATCAGTCTTGTAGAAAACAAGATCTTATTTCTCTCTTCTTCTTTTTTTTTTTTCTTTTTATTCCCTGGTCTTGAAATCTTTTTGTGATTGTTGCCTGTTTTTCTAATGAAAAAGCATCTTGGTACCGCTACCATAAAATAAACAATGGTTATCCTAATAAGCTGAAATTGAATAATGCCAACTAGCATCAGCCCGTTGCATGGCTTTGCTTTTGCAAGCTCGATTGATAAGTGTGCTCTCAAGGGCTTGAGGTGTAGAATTGTGTAGAGCACGAGAAGAATATATACACCTTTACTTTCGGAAGCTTGATCGATAGGTGGACTCTAGATATGGGATTAGGGTTTGCTTTCTGCCCTTCCCTAATAATCTAGACCATCTGTGAATATGTTGGTTTGGGTCCCTAGAGATTTGTCTTGGCAATTTTGAGTAGACATGGTTAAGATTAGAAGTACAATATAGTCGTGCCACCCAAGTTTGAATCAATTCAGCCATGTTTGGGCATTACATGGCTGTCTTGGATTGACTTGGCTTTTTAGACTAATAAATAATTATAAAATTATATCTTAATCATCCAAACATTCATAATATGCAAATATTAGAAAGCAAATACATCAAACATAAGTTGCTTCAAACTCAGATTTTGCACTGAAGAAGGTTTTTACTTACAAACTTATATGATATTTAGGTGGCTTCATCCAATCTTAGCCACCATTTGAATTATATATTTGAAAAGGAAAAAACCAAAAACAGTAACTATGATAAATAGGCTTATGCGGGTGCTATCTAGCCACCACTGCATTAGAGACATTTGTAACTTCTTTAATACTTACACACCCTTTTTAACTAATCCCAAACTTAATCTTAAAAGTCGAATCATTTTTGAACGTTTCTATGAATTTCCAATTAACGGAACTAAAATTGTCCGCCTTGGAATGTTTGTCCGAATTGCCAACCAGCTGGGACAACGTTGTTATTGGTAACGGTCCTTCCATCACTTGTGGTGACTTGAAATGAGAGGCTTTGGCCGTTTAGATAGGAATTGCTCTGCCAGTTTTGGCCCCAATTTCTTGACATTTGTTGCCATCCTGTTTTTGAGCCCTTGATCGACACTGAATGTACGTCACCCACGCCGCCAACATTGGTTATCAACACAAGGTTGAAGTAGGAATGACCATTTATTGTGAATCTTATTCCTCCCTTCTTTACGCAAGGCACCCTATAAACACCGATAAACAATGTTTCAGCAAGAAATCTTCAAAACTTGACCAATTAAGGCAATAGTTGATGGTAAGTTCTTAAAAATTGTTTATTTTATTCTCCTTCTTCTCCAAAGATTTGTATATATTATAGTCAGTCTCTCCAAGTATGTTGCCGAAACCTCAAGTTTTGAGTATCCCTGTTGATTAAGTTGGCTCATTCATAGTACGAGGTTTAGTCGAAATAAACTAGCCCCCTACATCAACATTAGGAAAAGTGTGGCAAAAGAAAAAGTAGGAATACCATATCGTGTGTGTCCCATCCCTGAGTCCGCATAAAGTACCAATTTTTTTATACATTGAGCATGTTTGGTTGTCCTTAATTTATTCTTGAGGTAATTTTTTCTTTCCTATACATGGATAATTTACTTTTTCCCTACTTATAAATAAATAAATAAATAAAAATGGACAGTTAAATGACTTATTTTCAATTTTTTAACGAAAATGGATTATTAAGTAAACTTACTTTTGAGTAAAATTTCTAGTCTTATCCAAAGATGCACTGACAAACTTGATTTTAAGTGAATTTGCTCTGTTCTATAGAAATGTCAAGTGAACATTAGAATAGTGCAAAATAACAATTTATTAAAACTAACCTTCGGAAAGAGACCGGAACAATTCCAGCACGGTATTGAGCAATTTGCAAGAAAGCTGGCTCGGCCAAATCAAAGTGCTGGCGGGGCGGATTGCACCACCCGCCATTGTCGTTAGGCAGAGATGGGTTGGGAGGGCAAAAATTTGTTGCTGTGACTGTTATGGTCCCCGAGAGGCACCATTTGGGGTCACTATTGCAAGTTAACTCGTAGCACGCACCACAAGTTAACCCATTGTTGAATAGAGCAGTACTTAGTGCTGCAGTGTTTGTGCCATAACCTTGGCTGTACAGGTTTCCATATCCACAAGCACCACCTGTATCATCATTTGTTAGAATGATTCTTCTACGATCAAAAACACTCGTCCAACTGAGAATTTCATGCCTGATTTATATTGATTGAGTATAAAAATACTAATAGGACTTGGATTACTCATTTTAATAAAATTAACGTTTTAAGATGGAACCTAAATCTTAATAATGCTCAATAGTCACATTAGTACACGTTTGGTACACAATATTGAATCGAACTGGTCTATTGTATAGTAGATATACCAAACACTCTCGAGCACAAAGGACAAAAAACATACCCATTGTGCCAGACGCATCGCCTCCACCGTAGAAGGTAGCATGAGCACTCTCCCATCCTCCATAGTCACCATACACTCCTTGAAGGCAAAAGTTGAAGAAGAAAAATACAAGAGAAAACATGGATAATGCAGGGATAGCCATTGAGAAACACAAAAAAATGTAGTTGAGATAGAGAGAGAGAGAGGTGAGTGCAAAAATGGGAGTATTGAGTGAGTATTTATATAGAAAAATGGAAGATAAAAGTTGTGGGATAATGGCAGAAAATGACAAAGTTAGCAGAATTCAGGGCTGAGAGCCACAAGAAAACTGAAAAATCAAAATTTGTTAAAGTCATAACACAAAGATGAAGAGAGAATGCACATGCATTTGTTCCAACTTGAACTACCAACTGATAATCTAATATTGACCCTACAACCACATGGATTTTTCAACTGTTTTCTTATTTTCTTGTTTCTCTATTCCCATTTTTTATTGAATTTGATTGGATGTCAAAATCAAGGATAATATTTTCTTGATTTGCATGAAATTGCGCCTTAACATATGTAGCTAATGTGGAATATTGCAGCATTTGACAATGGAGATATGGGATTTTGGATGTTCATCTAAAGTCAAGTCAAGGCGCAACTACTTAAACAGCCTAAAGGGTCGGTACGAAAGTAAACCTAGTAGAAAAGCGAACAAGAATTTGTAGAAATATAGACTCAAGTGACTAGGTCGGTGGAAACACTCCTTTATTGTGAAACTTTAATTTCATGTATCGAACTCGTAAATGAAAAACTAATTGACATGTGAGATAATGAGTAATGAAACAAATAGCAACTTAAGCTCACCTTGGCATTTCTAAATTTTTCTTAAGCTCCGCTCCTTTATTATGCCCATGTTTGGTTTAGATAAAAATTATATTTTTAGTACATTTTAATAAAAATGGATAGAATGTGAGGTTCAAAAGTTGTGAATCATTTGAAACGTATGATTAAAACTAAATGTTGACTTTGACTTAAATTTTAATCTATTCTTTAAGCTAAACTAAATAGGAGTTAAATAAGTTAAATTACATCCTAAGATGATCTTTTGGATTTCAAGTAAACAAATCATTCAAAATATAAACAAAATTTAAACTACATATGCAACTCAATACATGGGTCGAGTTACATTTAAACATCTTGAAATCGACTTGGATTTAAAGTTGTTATTTACTTTACACGCCAAAGAAATAGTAGGTGCGTATTTAAGACTTATAGTCTATTTTTGGCGTAGCTTAAAATTTTAAGTCAAAATTAACAATTAATTTTAATCATATATTTTACGAAACCCACAATTTTTATCAGCTTTTCAATCACACGTTTCGTTAAATTTGTTAAAATTTACTAACAATTAATGTACTTGTTACTTTAGTCAAATGTTAGTGTCAATCAAGAATGTCTTGGAGGAACAAATCCAATGTAAATACGTATACCATGTGTCCACTTGTTTAGTGAGCTTTTAGACTTTTTTTACCAAATTAGCAAGAAATCAACGTACTAATAGTACCATTTAGTATTTACACATCATAGTCGATAATTTGAATTTATTAATAATGTCGGTATCAACTCATAATAATAATTTCTTAAAATATATTTTATTGTAATCGTCTCACCATATCATATAGGGCATGCGGATATAGTTTATAATTTACGTGATTATGATTAAATAATCATTGATTAAAAGGTTACGTGGAAGAATAAATTCATAATTATAGTTTAAATATTATAGGTACGAACAAAGTAGGTTTAAAATTTTAATTGAAAAACGTTATGGGGAGATTTGGTAAGGGACCTACCATGTTAGCAGCACATGCAAGTCCCGCAATCGATGGCCCCTTGTATCCGTGCGTTGTTATCATAATTATACATTTGATGATTTTCCGTAATTAAAACGAGAATTGATGCGTAAAATACTCGTATTATAAAAAGATCAAAACTTCAAAAGGGTATCTATACTCAAAATTGACGAGGAAGATGAGACAACTCTTTCTAAGAAACTCGGCAAGATAGTCCCGAAACTTCGGAAGAAAAGGTCACCTCACGAAGGGAGTCGCAGTGACAAAATCTGTACTAAAATTTAATTCACTAAAATCATACGATTATGTACATTTTGGCTAAAAGGATCAAAGAGAGGCCAATTTCAACAAGAAACGTCAACGGCTAGTGTCGTTATTTTTTTCTCTCACAAGAAATATATAAATTGGTAAACAAAAAAATAAAAAGTTGGTGAAGTTTCTTCGATCATCAACTTGCAATGCTCTTGACATGGAGCCCAACACTTCTCCAAATTTCATTTAAGCACGCTTTGAATAAACGTTTTGTCATTATCAATTGACTGAACGTGAAGATACGAAAAGTGATTGGTTAGATCTCGTATAAACTTTCTTTAATGGCACACAATCTTATTCTCACTTTTCTGTTCGATCCTATCCACATTAGCGGATCACAAAACCATATGCTAGTGTCCCGAATGATGTAAATGGACAAACCTAACTAATAGAACATGAAATAGTATCCACAAAAGGGCATGTGGATTCTAATCCAAATGTTGTTAGTTAGGGACCAATAGAAATGCTACTCAAAGGGCATTGTCTAAGAGTCCCACTTGTTATTACGACTAGAGTTAGCAACATGGAATGCACCCTAACTCTCAAGCAAACAATTGGCACTTTGTAAACAGTCTATGGTTAATAATAGGGGTCATGTGTTTAGCAGCCCCCACATGATTGGTGCAATTCAGTTCACAAGCTCCTACGTTAGCCATGTGCATTTTGTTAGTGTCTTGTCTTGAGAGGGTGGTAGGTCATATATTGGTCCCTTAGGAGGTGACAAAGGGAGTTATTTTGGGGTTCCTCACAAGGTGTGGACATGTGTTGTTTTGGTGTTACTTTGAAAGTTCAACCCGATCCTAAGATACTTTTCCTTATTCAAGTTAGCGGAGTTGTCAATTCTAGTTGTAATACTTGTACGTAATAAAATCTTAGTAGGATTTTGGGTGGTTTGTGATTGATTTATATTTATCACATTACCTCATTTGAGGAGAGTTATCTTATTATCACAATAAATAAGGGTCTCTATTAAAGTGAGAATAGGACACAATTGTTGGCAAGATTTCTATGGCTCGAGTAGAGACTACAAGGCTTGTGGATTGGTCAGAGACTTGTAGCTCAATCATCCACCGAATTGGTTGAGTTCTCAACTCGGATGGTTAGTATAGGTCTAGAGGACGACCAATGCATAACCGTCAATGGCTTTGCAATTCTTTGTGGGAACCATTGGTTCGAAAGAACCTTGTTAGGGGATCCTCGTCAGATGAAATAGGTAGTGCCTTCTACACAAAAAATTCGACATATACAATCCCAAAAGTTTATAAGAACCTTATGTCAAATGCTATACTTCTTGAAACTCAACCCAACAGCATTGCCTGATTTAGGTACCTTGCTGCCATTGTTCCAGGAAAATCAGCATACGTAACAGCTACAAGCAAAGGACAACTCATCAAACCAATTATCACCACCAAAATTAGAATGCTGGACCATTACTCAATACCAGGGGCAATTAAAGAACAGTCGAGTCACAGATGAACAATAAACCTACTTATATCTCAAGCTATACTTTCCGTTATAAGCTACAGAAACACAGATACCCGACACACCATCTCATCATCAATCTTGATGAACAGATGAAAAGTCCGACTGTCATAAAGGACATTCCCAACAGTTTATACAACAATCTAGAATCCCGTCTACTCAAATGTAAAAGTATAAAAGTATGATCAAAATCCAGGAATACTGTTTCAAAAAGACCATTCAGGGAGAGGTAAACAATATCGAACTTTATTTCATTTATGAAGTTCTATTGTTACAAGTACGCCTTTCATGAGAGCAAATCAAGTGAACGACAAATAATGAAATTACAACATAAAAGCTATGGTTAATCGTCTCATTACAGACTGGCATAATAGATTAGCAGACTATTCGTGACCAATAAATGGGTTCATACAATGCAAACATACCATTAAAGAGAAGCTCCGCACAAGAAATGAACATGTCAACACGGCTAACACAACCAAAAAAATAAAAAATAAAAAGACCACAAACACGTAACAATGAATACCGAGTAATCAAAAATAATGACATCCTAAGACCCCAGTTAAAATGAACAAAGGAGGAGAAATATCGGATATTCTGGTATGATTATGTAGAACTAAAAAATCGGGTTGGCGAAATGCACAAATCAGGAGAACCTAAATCAGAATGTACTACTACTTTCACTGGCTGAAATAGAAGGGCCTTCAGACTTCACAAAATGAGATCCCCCGCTACTGATATCAAGACCCTGAAAACGACCAAGAGGATCCTGTTGCAATGCGTTCAAGAGACCCTGTCCCTGAGCAGATGCAAATACAGGGGGCCTTTGAGTTGACATGCCAGTCTGATGGTGATGAAACTGTGGCATTTGTACATTCTGGGAATCATTAGGTGCTGATTGAGGCTGCTGAGAAAAAAAGGCAGGCTGATTATACGGAATGTGCTGCATTGCCAAATTGAATGTCTCTGAAGGGGCTGATATTTCTCCAGTGGCAATTCTTAGTCTCTCAACTTCCTGTTTCAATGCTTCATTTAGAGCTGCATATTGTGAACAATGCCATATAGAAAAAAAATATGGGTTAACATTTTCACCACTGCAAATATACAAATGTAAGCAGAAGAAAAGATGCAGTGAAAATTTAAGTGGTGCATGATTCCTTCAGGCTCTGTTATTGCTACCCTGATTGGGCGAAAGTTTTTTGCAGGCTAATATTATAATAACTTGTAAGACAAGTATATGGATAGTAGTCTTTTACATATACGGGAAATTATTTGAGATATGCCTCCAAAATTTTATGGGTGGGTGAATCAGGATAATTTATTCTAGATATATGGAATAACGACAAAGAAGAAAAAAAGGTTTTGCTTACCATCACGTAACTGAGCTTGCTGTTCCATGGCTTGTAACCGAAGCTTAAGTTCTGTGTTCTCATTACTAAGCCCCGTTGTATCTCGCTGGAGAAGAAAAAACAGTTAATTAAATTGCAAAAGCAACGAATTATGTATCGGATTAAATAAATCTAATAGGATAATAAGTCTCAAAATATTACCTTTCAAAAAAAAATAAGTCTCAAAATATTACTGCACAGTCTGTGCGGAGATGCCTCCTATATAAATACAAGAAATATTTGGAAAGAATTATGGTCTGGGAATTCTTCTATCAGCTCCTTCCCTTATTTCAACTGAAGTTCTCTAGTTAACCATATGTGACTAGTGCAATGTTCCAAAAAGTCATATGTTGTTAAAGATCACGAAATTGGAAGGGGGGAAAAAAACAGATTTCTTGTCAAAACAAGTTATGAACAGACCATACACCTATGAGCCGAGAACATGGGAAGAGGACGTTAAGAAATGGGACCCAAGAAGCAATGTAACTTTGGTACTGATCTCAATTCTATAGCCTTGAGGATAGTAAACGTCTTGGCAGCCAAAATATGGTGAACATTTTGAAGGAGAATTTAGGAAAACAATGAGACCATCACCTTCTTTCTTGCTTTTAAAGTTATAATATGAACTCAAAAAAGTGTCGCTGTGCGTCCTTGACATGTCTTATAGTGACCTTAATCTGTCTCAACATAAAAAAATGAGTGACTCTTCATCAGAACTGTTGTAGTCCAAATACTGTATCAGAGTGCTCTGAATTTAAAAATAATAATAACAAAAAAATTATTTGCTAATTGTCAGACTTGCATCTGGCCTTCTTATGCTGGAGAACTAAGAAAAATGTAGTAGCAACAGAAAAGACATCAGAATTCGGAAGACGTATGATTTTGTGACATTGGTAAATAAGGTAATTTTCAATCTTCTGTGGAATCAGGATCAACCACAAGGACATAGAAACAAGTTTTGAGCGCAGACTCCTATTATTCAGTGTTTCTATCATTTAGGCACTATAAGTTCTTTGGATGAGACCATCGTCAAGTAGATGGTTCACATCATATTATTTTGTTGCGGATTATGAATACACTGTGAGAATCTACGATTTGTGGTCCCCTAGTATTCTAATCGGATGCTACTACAAATCAACATTGAAAACTGTCCCACATAAATTGAACACAAATGTAAACACAATGTTTGGATTAGCATTAATGTTAATTATTTTTTTTCAGGATCCATACTATGCAAGTTAACTTGAGAACATGTTCAAAGATAAAGCACAAAACAAAACTAGTGTAAGACAAGTTCTCGCAGAAGTACCTGGTACAATGTTAGTTGTGCGGAAAGAGTTGTTGCTTCAGTTTGAAGGGTCTGAACTTTTCTCTCAAGCTCGGAGATATAACGGGCCTTTCTCTCTTTTGATCGAGCAGCAGATTGTCGATTTGCCAATATCCTGTTATTAACTTCTGGAACATTAGTTGATTGGAGAAATACATATTCCAATTCTGATCCAATGTCCACCAGTACAAAAAAATGAAAATATAAATTTCTTTTCCATCAAACTCCAATTAAGGAAAATCCACATACAATAAATGTTGAAAGTCTAATATATTCTATTCTATGGCTACACACTACTCAAACATTATGAGAAAAGAGAAGTGCTTGGCTAGAGAAGGTGTTTGAAGTCAGATGTATTTGAGTTCAGAAAGGAAAGAAGATATATAAAACGTAGAGACTGGTTAACTCCAGCGAACCTTCTAGAAAAATATATTTTTGTTCAGTTATCGTCAGTTGGTAAAAAACAAATTCCTCAAAAACATAAACATACCACGAATCATTGATGTATTCCTCATCGTTAATTATATACCAACAAGTCAGTTTGGGCCGGTTTTGATAACGAGATTAAACAAGTAAAACTTGAAGATGATTTCTCAATTTCAAATTTGTAGTAACTAATGACAGTCAGCTGGGTAATTGACCTTAAATGGGATCGTCTATTCTAATCTACACATGATTTGAATTTTCAAAGTTCGGCAATCAGCTCGAAGTTCTAACTTAAAATGCTCCAGTAATTGGTTAACACAACCTCTACACCGAAACAGACTGTAAATTCACAGCTCTAACCTAGGCAGGATTTGCCACTTGATCATGCTAACAATTTTAGATATCAACTATGCTCAAATTAAGATCTCATCGGTGTCACAATTAGACCTACAACTAATGTCAAAAATTACCAAATCAATCAAAGTAGAACGAGCACATCAAGATACAAAGATCCATACTTTACTTATTTATATACATGAATTTAAGAATGCAACTAAATGACCTTTTGGCACGTTTAGGATCAATGCTCCACAACTCAGCAAGCTTATCAGGAGCCATGGCTTTCTTGGCTTCAATGCTACTTTCAGAAAGCACAAGACTCGAACTATCTACCGAGTTACTATGCCTATGCCTTGGCCTAGCAACACCACCGCCACTCTTCTCTTCGCCACCATCACCTGACACCCCACCAACAGAAACACCGCTTCCACTACCCACATTATCGAAAACAGAGTCATTAATCTCAGATCCACCTCCAGCACTGAGCTTCTCCATATCCATATAAGTAGAAAACAGATCGTCCTCCGATCCCATCTCCTCCACACTTCCTACCGGCGCGTCGAATGGGTCCGACACCAGATCTAGTTCCTCCGGTAGCCGGAAATTCACCTCAGAATGTGCTCTTCGGTGATGGGCCGGCCTTGTCGCCCCCGAAAAAGACGGCGTCTGATTCAACGAATACTTAGAGTTTGGATCTTGCATTTTCCAAATAAAAACCAACCAGTCCCAGTAGTTTTCTTGCAGTATGAACAGTGAAGACGAGTGGGATTTAACTGTTTTTCGATTTCTCTTACGTTGTTAGAACAATTTGACGAGAAATCTCTGTGGTGTTACTAATACTGGGTGATTTTTTGAAGGAGTCCATGAGGGTCTAATGATTTCATTGTGTGTGGCAATTTGTATGAATGATAACTGTGTCATGTCACAGAGGACTTGTGCATTACTTCGTGTTACTTATGCAGGCACACACTGCAAATCAAGGATTCCATGGCCAGGCCACGTGGCAATGCTTAAATTTTTATCGTTGCTATCTAACTTGTTTGCTATGCAATAACTTGGTATCTTCCCATCTTTTATTGTTCTTGTATTCCTAGTAGTTTAAACTTTAAATAGATGATTATTCATTACTCTATTTTTCTCCCCAATAATGGGAGACAAATACACCCTTAATTAATAAGCAACTAAACACGTATGATTTTGATAAAAGAGGAAATTGAAAGCGGTATTGATAAATTATGAAATTCCCTCCAACGCGGAATCTCTTTTGCAGTTTTCACATAATTTTAGATCGGAAAAAATACCATTTACTAAAAAGATGTCCCTTTCGATTTTGTGCATTATTTTATCGTTTTCCTCATATTTTTAGTTTACTAGTCATATTTGAACGTGCATTGCACGTTATTTTGAAATACTCTAGCAGTACTTCAAAAGTAATAATTGATACCAATTTGTTGAGAGTATTTTATAAGTTTCAAACGGATTAAAGAAAATAAAATTTAGGATAATTTAAGAGAAGAAAAAAGTACTCTCAAAACTTAATATCTATGATTCAAATTAGTTCTGTAAAAGTAATATTTAATACAAATTTGTTAGGAGTATTTGATGGTCTCTAACGAACTAAAGAAAGTAAAATTTATGACAGAAATTTAAAAGAAGAAAATTGTACTTTCAAAATGTAATTTCTATGATTCAAATTTTTTTTGATGACGAAATAATACAAATGAACAACATTTTTTATACTATATTTGGTACATAGAATTAATTGCTAATACATTAATTTAAACACTCATTAAAATTCTTGGATACTTGAATAGAAATAAATTCATTTATAATAATTGTAGATTCATGCATATCAAAATTCATCAAGTCAAGAATCGATGAATATGAATGTTAATTAATTGATAATTAATAACACGAAAATCATAAACGACAAGGATTTTCTAGTATTTATTACATATTAAAAACGAAAAATAAAGTATTATTGAAATAATTGAATTGTAATAAGCTTAAAATCGCCCAAGAAATTATTCTCACTTGATGTGATATTAAATATATTATAAATTATTCTCACTTGATGTGATATTTAATATATTATAGATTATTTGAATATTAATTTATAGAAAATAAATGAAAATTTTCAATTGTTTTTTGATGGACAAAACAATATATATTTTTAAAATGCACCCCAACTATTTTACAAACATAATTAAAAAGAAAATAAGAGCGGTCACCACATTCTTCTCAAATCATTTGTTCTTCAACCTTATCATTTAAATTCTCATCTACCACCAAATCCACCTTTCCTCTTCAAGAGTTAACAATTGTGCTGGGGGAAAAAATAAGAGTTTTATGTCAAAAAAGTATTGAAGAGTGGTTATTTGTATATTTTATTTAGGATCCTATTAATAAGTAAAAATCATTTAAATTTATGGTATAATAATAAAAAAACTATGATGACAATATAATCATCCATTGAATATTTGAATAATTACAATAAACAATAAATATAAAAGTTCGACAAAATATTTACCCCTCATTTCGAAGCACGTTAATAGATATTTGAATAAAAACTATTATCAAGACAAGATATATTAATTAATTGAAAGTTGAGAATAAAAAAGCAACGAAAAAAGTTGAGGGTGTGATTTCAAAAAATGAGCATATGATCTAATCAAAATTTGATATAAAAGGGTAAGTTTATAATTAAAGCACATCATCGAATCAAATTTTGGAACTAGATCTTGATTTAACTTTAGATAGCCTAAAAAAGAAAAGGAATTAAAAGCATATATCCATTCGATACTACTTATGACCACAATATAAGTGGCCTAGAGATATTAAAATATGATTGAATTTTTTTCTTAATTTACTATAACGACGTGACGAGAAATGATAATTTATTGGTATTCATCTTTGTTTGATTATGATATAAATCAAGAAATAAGGGTCGACAAATCAAATAACAATTATAAAAATTGATTTCTTTATTTTTATTTTTTGTCACGATATGATCAATTTTCAATTTTAATTTCTCCACAAGGCCATTACGATGATGAGTCGACTAAATTAAACAAGTATAAAACAGGATGGTAGGTCCACAACAAAGTGTTCTTGAACATTCTAATCCGCCTATGCAGCGGCACTACCACCTACCACGGTGGTTTACACCTCTCCATACCAAAGTCTCAAATATCATGAGTCAAGACTAGACCTTCATTGCCCTCAACAGTTGCCCATTCCTTTCACCTGATAAACACCCCTAAATTTATTAATGTTGGCAAAGTAGGTGAAGATAATATGACATGATCTTGATCACAAAATCTTGTCCACGGATTACACGTGTCACATCTATATGAAATCAAGGTCCCCCACAAAGTTATTTGTTGGCTGAGTCATAGGTTAAATTACCAACAACTTGGCCCCATGCACCTCTATGGGGCTTATGGGCTTAAGGCCAATTTTGATCCTCTACATTTTTATTCATCTATTTTCGACCGTGACGAGTTGTTTATCAATATATTATAGTTTGAATTTGACTCGAGTAGGAATTTTTATAATAGTAAGTTGTTTTTCTTAGTGAAAATGGTTAAATAATTTATTTTGTTTTACGAGTTTAAATTGTAGAAAAAAATGATTTTGATTTCGAATCAAGTGGAGAGAAAACGGGAAAAGAGGATAAGATGTCATTTTCAAAACATGTTTAATTATACTTATAAATGAAGTTTTTATGCATAACAAATCTAGTAGCGTACGATCTAACTCGTCGACCCCCGTAATTAAAGGCCGTAATCAAACATTCTAGCCTAAAGGAATTACTTCACCTATCAATTCAAAGGTGGAGTGCAAGAGTGGGACAAGGATTTGGTGCTGAGAATGGGCATTTTTTTCAAGCTAATTGTGATTATGTGGGATCAGATACCATAAATCAAAATTCTCAAGCATCCTCTTCCCCTCTACTTTTTTGTAAGTTATGTCCTCCAAGTCTTTCAAAAAATCAAATTATAAGAACAGATCAAAAAGCACATCAAACTTGCTTTCATTTGGTATCTTTCCTTTATGTACACCACTCTGTCCTTTGCTACTTAAAAGCATCTTCATAATACAACAAAGCCCTCCTCTATTTTTGCATCAAGAATTCAGTTCTCTGTAGGCTGTAGCAAGAAAATAGTTCAGAAAATGCCCTTTGGATTTTAGGTCAAAAGGGAGGTTTAAAACGACGAGATTGCGAAGGACAATGAGCCAAAAGGACGAAAAGGATTCATTTGATTCCTTGGAGGGATCTTGAAATTTTAGGCTGGTTACAGTTCCTAACTTCTGGTAATTATCAGCCCTTGATGAACAAAGAAATCCCCTTTTCCCTGCCTTATCATCGATTGCGTGTTTGGTAAACGGTATTGGAGGGTACTGAGAGAACTCTAACTCCTTTTTCTTCATTGTCTAATCCACGTTACCAAATGTGCGAAGAGTATTTGAATTCTTGAAAAGTGGAGCATAAGAGAAAGATTTGTGATTATCTGAGGGAGATGAATTCTCTTCTTTCCATTTCATTTGTAGTCCGATTTGAAGCTGAATTTTGTTGGAGCAGAGCAAACTTCAGCCTATATGCATAATACAAATAGTTGAACAGTTTCAAAAGCTGCAGATTTTATAAAAAGAAGACCCTCTTTGTTTGGTACTTTTTGATCACTGAACCAATTCAAATCTGATGAGTTTTTATCATCGCCCACTTCGTTTCCTTCTCGACGAACGTTCTGGTTCAGATACCGGCACCAGAATGCGCAATGGTAACAACGGTAAGGCTAATTTCGACACCAACATGGTCATCATCTTGGGAGCCTTGTTGTGTGCTCTAATATGTGCACTTGGGATAAATTCATTAGTAAGATGTATACTGCGATGTGTTAATAGGCTTACGGTGGACGCAATAGACGGTCAAGCACCATCCCGAGGAGTGGCCAGAAAGGGCCTAAAGAAGAGGACTCTGCGTCGGATTCCCGTGGCCGAGTATCGATCAGGGCTTGATAGTGCTGCAGCATTTACAGATTGTCCAATATGTCTTGGTGAATTTATGGATGGTGAAAAGGTTAGAGTGCTTCCAAATTGTCACCATTGTTTCCATGTGAATTGTATAGATATTTGGTTGGCTTCGCATTCTTCGTGTCCAACGTGCCGGCGGTCATTGGCGGAGCAGCCACCGGATATTGAGGCTGATGGGAGGCAGGGAGGAAATGCTGCAGGAGGACAAGGTGATTTGCCTAGTTCTGTTGAGGAAGTGTGCTAATTGCAAAGCAAAATTGTCAAAGTTAATTGATGTTTTATGTGATGTTCAAATCCATTTAATGTAATGCTTGAATTAGAGGTGTAAGCTGGTTGAAAATCGCGTTGTCTTTGCATAGGATTGACAAAGCTCTTCCAAAAATGAAACCTAACACGACATGTAGTCGTGGTGGTACGTGTCTGGCTGGATGGGCCACCCAGGGTGCCCGATGTCCCAATCCATGCTTACCTCTCTTATCTTGATGTAAAGAAGCATGGTTTTAGAGAGGAAAACCAGATACACACAATGCAGGGGGTGGGTATTTTTTTTTCATTTTTTATTCCGAAGGGCCCACACACATCTGAGTGGATGTAAAACTTGTGGCAAAAAATTTTCTGTACATCTGGTTTAATCCTATCTTGAATATAAAGTAACACTACGATTGCAAAAACTATATTGGAGACGTAATAATTGTGTGAGACTTACGAGTTGCCTTAAGTCGCATTTCTTGAAAATAAGTGGATTTAGGAATAACTTAAAAATATTATACGAATATATATTAGCAGTTAAAAGTATTTTTGTGAACGGTTGTGCTACATGTGCAAAATAGTTGACATAAAAAAGAAGTTATGAGATATAATTGGATTAAAATTTCATCATACCAAATAATTAAACAAAAAAAATAAAAAACTTATCTCACTCTCTTTTTGATATCTCATCTGTATGTAAACCATTATGTAACTCTTTATATACAAATAACATTATTCTTTGGATTAATCTATTATGACAAAAGGAACATGATAGAGGTTGACAAATGTGTGTGTGTGGTAGATGAGTGGATGAAAAAGCTAATCGTGTTTTAAACTGTCCAATAATAAGATACAATGTGACATTATTTTAAACATTATGTCAATCATTATGTCATTGTATCATGATTTATTCTTCTTGTAAATCATTTCACATTATTTTGTGATATAAATGATTATCTTATCCATGTAAATAATTTCAACGTTGAATACATGCTTCTTTTCCTTTTTGGAAAAAGGTTGTCTTTTATTCTAAATCATTAGATGCATCATTGGGTACATGTCGAACATTAATGTACGAATGTATTTTGTATGACATATGCAGATACAAACATTCAAGTAGGTGCTAGTTGTATTTAAAAGATTCTCTTGAGAAAATCTTGTATCTGATTATGTGGAAAATAAGACCATGTTTGAACCACATTATTTTTTTCGTTCTTATTTTTCTACTCATTTTCAACTACACGTTCTTCTATAAAATAATATTTTTCATTACATCAATAATTTTTTCTTCTTTTTCAACTACATATTCTCCATCATATCAAACAAACAGAATGCATTCTTGTGGAAATAATATAGCTCAAATGGGGGCTAAAGAGAGAATTGTTAGGACAAGAAGTAGAACTGACATTATGTTTGATCCAATTCTTACAAAAATTCATTTTTTCAAAATTCATTTTTAACCACGCATTATTCAATAAAATAATATTACATGCAAATCCTAATATTACACGCAAATCCAAAAATTTTACTTATTTTTTAATCACATATTTTCTATCAAATCACTATTTAAAATGCATTATATACTCAATAATGTGCATCAAACAGGATCTGAATCGGAAATGTGAATAGACTCTAACTTGAGTCATTTGAAGCTAGTATTCAGTTAACTTGGTTGGGTTGTTTCATATACCAAGTTATTGTCATTCATTACTACAATTGACTAACATTTCATTGTCATAAATGAGATATTTACCAGCTAAACATCAAGATTAAAAAGTTGGAATAATCCAATATTTTTTTAGAAGCCTTGTTCATTTTGTTATGGGACTAATCCCGTTTGAACAAAACAAAATTTAAACTAATATTCAGTGAATTAATCGTTCAAATTCAAGGAAAAAATGAGAGCAATCTCCATCATATATAGATGGAGAGAATACAGGAGAAAACCAATCAAAAGAGGACAACTCAGCAATAACAAAAATAACAGAAAAAGGTTAAGTAAACATAAGCAAAAACGTAAGAGGGAGAACACGTTTTATCTCCTTTATTCTCTAAACTAGACTCTAAAGCAGGGCTTCACAATGGACTGGGCTTCAGTAGCTGCAGACCCAGAATACTTCATCAACTCTGCCTCTGTTGTCCGATAATCCTTCATCCCCTCCCCCCCTAAAGGTGGAGGTTGGTGTAAATTACCCAACCCCAACTTGGAAAGAAGACGATGAAAGTGAGAAGCAACAAGAGGCTTCGTAAAAAAGTCTGCAAGTTGAGCATAGAAAGGAATATACTGTGGGAGAATAAATCCAGACTTATACAAATTCCAAACCAAATGACAATCAATCTCCAAATGTTGAGTTCGTTCGTGAAATACTGGATTTGCTGTGATATGCAAAGAAGCCTTGTTATCACGCCATAAAGAGATAGGGAATGTGAAGATCATGCAGGATATAAGTGATCCATTGCAACTTACTAACTGTACTTCCCATACTCCAGTACTATGCCTCTGCTGAAGAATGCGAAACTGTAGTCTGCTTTTTGGTCTTCCAAAAGATAAGTGCTGAACCAAAGAAAATACAATACCCTGTGAGTGATTTCCTTGAATCTGGGCAAGAGGCCCAGTCAGCATCTGCGTAAGCCTGTGAACTGAGGGAACATTGTGCATGGAAGAAAAGCCCCTTCGAAGGACGTCCTTTCAGATACTTGAGTAAATGCATAGCAATTTTCCAATGTGATTCACACGGTGCATGTACAAATTGGCTAAGTTGCTGCACACCATATGTGATATCAGGCCTAGTCAAATTCAAGTAGAGGAGTCGCCCAATTAGCTATCTATATCTCTCTGGTTCTTGAAGTAAAGGACCTGCTTGATTAATCATTTTGGTTCCTTTCGGAATTGGAACTGGAGATGGCTTAGCTCCTAGCAATTCTGCATCTTGAATCAAATCAAGAATGTATTTTCGCTGGTTAACATACATTCCTTCACTACTGCAAGCAATCTCGAGGCTCAGGAAGTACTTAGAGTAGCCCATATCTTTGATGGTAAAGGCCTTATGTAAGTATTGTTTGACAGCAATGGTGTCATCTTCTTGCGAACCAGTAATAAGGACATCATCAACGTATACTAAAAGAATGAGGATTCTCTGTGACTGTTGTTTTGTAAACAGGCAGTGATCATGCTCTGATTGGTGAAAACCAAAGCCATGAAGTTTTGAACAGAGTTCAGCATTCCATTGCCATATAGCTTGTTTCAAACCATATGTGCTGCGTTTTAATTTACAAACTTTCCCTGGAAGTGCTTTATGAAAACCATCAAGAGGCAGCATATACACCTTCTCTTCTAAGAATCCATGGAGAAAAGCATTGTTAATGTCCAGCTGATGTAGAACCCATTCCTTAGATGCCACTATAGTATAAAGCATCCTCACAGTAACCATTTTTGCCACTGGTGAAAAACTATCAAAATAATATATCCCCTGCAATTAATGATATCCTTTGACAACTAATCTCGCCTTTAGTCTGTCAACTGTACCATCAGGATGTAATTTGGCCTTGTAGACCCATCGTGAGCCAATAACCTGCTTCCCAGGAGGAAAAGTAGTCGATTCCCAAGTTTGGTTTCTCTCCAGGGCATCAAGTTCTATCTGCATTGCTTGAGTTCAATCTTTGCTTTGAGTAGCCTGATTATAAGTATTTGGTTCCTGAACAATTGATAAGGTAGCTAGAAATGCAGCATATGATGAACTAAGGTGTGGCAAAACAAGATAAGGAAAACCTGATGAAACAGATGGTTCTGTCCTGCAAAGTGATTTAAGATCTGCTGTTGGCAGAACTTGTGTGCTGTTTACATTGATAACAAAGTCTTGCAGCCAAGGTGGTTTAGATTTTGTCCTAGTACTTTGTCTAATAATAGGAGTAGGTGATGGAGTAGGTGGAGAGTTAGTGTGCTCTTGCGACTGTGTTTCAGGGAAAGGAACTGGAATCAAAGAAATTGAATCGATGGAAGTGTTTGGATAGTTAGGGACTTCCTGTTGTGTGTCAATGTTTTGTAGCCCATGTAATGAAGTTTTCGTGATGTTCTCACCAGAGTCAAAGTCTTGAGAAACGGGTAATGGAGGTGTAAATGTATCATATACTTTATCCTTCAAAGGAAAAATGGATTCAAAAAACTTAACATCCCTAGATACTTGAATTTGCTTGGTGGAAATATTGAAGACTTTGAATCTTTTTTAACCAGGGCTAACACCAAGAAAAACACACTTGTACCCCCTTTCCTCAAACTTATCCTTATGTGGCTTAGTGTTTGCCATATAACAAAGTGATCCAAAGGTTTTAATCAAAGAGTAATCAGGTTTCTTTCCATATAGCTTCTCAAAAGGAGTAAGCCATGTTAAGATTTTTGTGGGGAGTCTGTTGATTATGAAATAGCCATTAATATAGAAAAGGGCCAGAACTTTTTCGGTAGATCAGCTTGGAACATTAAGGACCTAGCAATTTGGAGTAGATGCTTATGTTTGCATTCTACAACTCCATTTTGTTAAGAAGTGTAGACGTAATTTCTATGATGTACTATCCCAGAATGTTGAAGCAATGTTTGACACTCAGCACTAAGGAATTCAGTGCCATTATCAGTTCTTATGCACTTGACTCTTCTATCAAACTGATTTTCAACCATTTAAAAAAACAGTCAAGACTTTTAGTGACCTTTGTTTTGTGTAGAAGCAGGAAAGTCCAGGTTGCTCTACTGAAATCATCTACCACAGTTAGAATATATGGTGTTCCTGTAAATGAGAATTGTCTATATGGTCCCCAAAGATCAACATGAACAATTTCAAATATAGCCTCAGTATGAATAGAGCTAATAGGAAATGGTGTTCTTTCTTGTTTAGCCTTATGACATGTTTCGCAATGTTGCAATATTTCAGATTCTGTGGAGGAAGGTTCTGAAAAATCCAAATATTTCGAGGTATGAAAAGATGTGTGTCTAAATCTACTATGCCA